GGAAAGAGTAAAAGAGTAAAGGTTTTGTGTGCAATCTAAGTTATATTGTTATCAGCTCAAAATAGGCTGCTATAACTATAAGATGTCTTATGTAAGCCTCATGGTAATCACAAAGCAAAAACCTATAGTAGAAACACAAAAGAAAAAGAGAAAGGGATCAAAACATACCACTATGGAAAATCATCAAATCACAAAGGAAGACAGCAAGAGAGGAAGCAACGAATAGAAGAACTACAAAAACAGCCAAGAAACAGTTAATGAGATATGGCAACAGTACATCCTTAACTATCCACAATGATTTTAAATGCAAACAAATTAAATTCTCCAATCAAAAGACACAGAGTGTCTGAATGATTAAAAAATAAGGAAAACAAAAACAAGATACAACTATATACTGCCTGTAGGAGACTCACTTCAGCTTTAGGGACACACATAGGCTGAAAGTAAAGAGATGGAAAAAGCTATTCCACATAAATGGAAACCGAAGGAGAGCAGGGAGAGCCATACTTACATCAGACAAAACCGACTTTAAGTCACAAACTGTAACGAGAGACAAAGGTCATTATAGAATGATTAAAGGGTCAATTCATCAAGAGGATATAACAACTGCAAATATTTATGCACCCAACACAGGAACACCTAAATATAATAAGCAAATATTAACAGATCTGAAGGGAGAAATAGACAGTACTGCAATAATAATAGGGGACTTTAATATCCCACTTTCAACGATGGACGGATCATCCAGACAGAAAATCAATAAGGAAAACTGGACTTGAAGCAAATGGAACAAAAGACATATTCAGAACATTCCATCCTATAGCAGCAGAACACACATTCTCAAGCACACACAGAACATTCTCCAGGATAAATCACAGGCTAAGTCACAAACAAATCTGAACGATATTTACGTCTTAAGAAATTTAAGAAGGTTGAAATCACATTAAGTATCTTTTCCAACCACAATAGTATGAAAGTAGAAATCAATAACAGGAGGAAAAGTAAAAAATCCACAAATAGGTGGAAATTAAACAGCACACTCCTGAACAACCAATGGGTCCAAGAAGAAACCAAAAGGGAAATTAAAGGATATCTTAAAACACAATCTTCAACAAAGAAGCCAAGAATATACAATGGAGAAAAGACAGTCTCTTCAGCAAGTGGTGTTGGGAAAGCAGGATGCTGTTAATCAATGGAGTAGAACATTCCCTCACACCATACACAAAAATAAACTCAAAATGGCTTAAAGATTTAAGACTTGACACCGAAAAACTCCTAGAAGAGAACATAGGCAAAACATTCTCTGACATAAATTGTACCAATGTTTTCTTAGGTCAGTCTCCCAAGGCAAAAGAAATAAAAGTGAAAGTAAACAAATGGGACCTAATCAAACTTATAAGCTTTTGCACAGTAAAGGAAACCATAAACAAAATGAAAAGACAACCTACAGAATAGGAGAAAATATTTACAAGTGATGCGACCAACAAGGGCTTAATTTCCAAAATATGCAAAACAGCTCCTACAGCTCGATATCAAAAAAACCCACAAACAAGCCAATCAAAAAATGAGCAAAAATAGACATTTCTCCAAAGAAGACATACAGATGGCCAACAGGCACATCAACAGATGCTCAACATCACTAATTACTAGAGAAGTGCAAATCAAAACTATAATGAGGTATCACCTCACACTGGTCAGAATGGCCATCACCAAAAAGTCTACAAATAATAATTGCTGGAGAGGGTGTAGAGAAAAAGGAACCCTCCTTCACTGCTGATGGGAATGTCAGTTGGTGCAGCCACTATGGAGAACAGTATGGAGGTTCCTTAAAAAACTAAAAATTGAGCTACCACATGATCCAGCAATCCTACTCCTAGGCATATATATGGAAAAGGCAAAAACTCTAATTCTAAAAGATACATGCACCCCAGTGTTCATAGCAGCACTATTTACAATAGCCAAGACATGGAAGCAACCTAAATGCCCATCGACAGATGAATGGATAAAGAAGATGTGGTTTATATGTATGCAATGGAATACTACTCAGTCATAAAAAAGAATGAAATAATGCCATCCGTAGCAACATGGATGGCCCTGGAGATTTTCATACTAAGTGAAGAAAGTCAGACAGAGAAAGACAAATTTCTTATGCTATCACTTACACGTGGAATCTGAAAAAGATCATACAAATGAACTTATTTACAAAACAAACAGACTCACTGACGAAGAAAACAAATTTAAGGTTACCAAAGGGGAAAGCTGGGGGAAGGGATAAATTAGGAGTTTGGGATTAACAGATACCACTACTACATATCAATGTAAAACAGAGGGCTTCCCTGGTGGCACAGTGGTTAAGAATCCGCCTGCCAATGCAGGGGATACGGGTTTGAGCCCTGGTCCAGGAAGATCCCACATGCCGCAAAGCAACCAAGCCCGTGCGTCACAACTACTGAGCCTGCGCTCTAGAGCCCACATGCCACAACTACTGAAGCCCACGCACCACAATGAAGAGTAGCCCCTGCTCGCCGCAACTAGAGAAAGCCCACACACAGCAATGAAGACCCAATGCAGCCAAAAATAAATAAATTAAATAAATTAAAAAAAAAAAATCCCACCAATTTTCTAAATAAAATAAAATAGATAAACAACATGGTCCTACTATATAGCACAGCGAACTACACTCAATACCTTATAATAACTTATAATGGAAAAGGATATGAAAAAGAATATATATATATATATATACTTACATATTCAGTTGCATCTATCTATCTATCTATCTATCTATCTATCTATCTATCTATCTGAATCACTGGGCTGTACACCAGAAACTAACACAATATTGTAAATCAACTATACTTCTATTTAAAAAAAAAAGAAAAAAAGGATATCTTAAAACAAATAAAAATGGAAACACTTACGGGATATAGCAAAAGCAGTACTAAGAGGGAAGTTTAAGCCCAACAGGTATATGAAAAGGTGTTCAACATCAGTGATCATCAGGGAAAAGGAAATCAAAACCACAGTGAGATATACCACCTCACACCTGTTAGGATGGCTATTATCAAGAAGACATGAGACAAGCGTTGGTGAGGACTGAAGAGGGAACCTTTGTATACCACTGGTGGGAATGGAAATCAGTATAGTCACATGGAAAACAGTGTGGGAGTTCGTAAAAAAATTAAAAATAGAACTACCATATGATCCCACTTCTGGGTGTATATATCTGAAGGAAACAAAATCAGTATCATGAAGAGATCTCTGCAGCCCCGTGTGCATGGCCGCATTATTCACAATAGGCAAGATATGGAAACAACCTAAGTATCCGTCAATGGGTGAATGGATAAAGAAGATGTGGTATATAATATACAATGGGATAATATTCTGCTATAAAAAAGAAAGAAGGAAATCCTGCCATTTGTGACAACATGGATGAACCTGGAGGAAGCCAGAGAAAGACAAATACTGTATGTCCTCACTTGGATGCAGAATCTAAAAAAAAAAGAAGTTGAACTCAAAGAAACAGAGAGCAGAATAGTGGTTCCCGGGGACATGGGGGCAGATGTTGGTCAAAGGGTACAAACTTTCATTTATAAGATGCATAAGTTCTGGGGATCTAACGTACAGCATGGTGATTATAGTTAATAATCCTGTCGTGTTACCTGAACTGTGGGAAGAGAGTAGAGCTTAAATGTTCTCAGCACAAAGAACAAAAACAGCCAAAATAGGTTAAACTGATTTGAGGTAAGGCAAATGCACTTCTCATTTATAATGTCTGCACATGCCATTTTACTTTTTAAAAAGCCAACAGCAGAAATTTTGTAAAAGGATTTTAGGCCACTTTGAAAAGGCTGAATATTCTAATTAGAAAAATGAATAAATATCCAAACCACACAACATTTGAATGAATTTTGCTATTTAAAATAGGCCTGTTGGGCTTCCTTGGTGGCGCAGTGGTTGAGAGTCCGCCTGCCGATGCAGGGGACACGGGTTCGTGCCCCGGTCCAGGGGGATCCCACATGCCGCGGAGCGGCTGGGCCCGTGAGCCATGGCCACTGAGCCTGCGCGTCCGGAGCCTGTGCTCCGCAACAGGAGAGGCCACAGCAGTGAGAGCCCCGCGTACCGAAAAACAAACAAACAAAAATAGGCCTGTTATTTCACTCTTCAGTCCCACGGATCAATTAGTAAATATTGAATATATTGTCATGCACGTAAGACACTGCTCCACATTATGCAGGATACAAAATGAGTAGGATGAGGGTACATCCCAGTCACCGAGGACAATCCCAGGTCACACCTGTTGTCCCAACGTACTAGTATTGTCCCCCTGCACTCTATAAAGAGTTCCCTGGTTTGGACGATACATTATACAGCCCTTCATTCATAATCACCAAAAACTGGAGACAGTTCTTTGACAGGTAAATGGATAAACAGACTCAAAAATAAAGAGGGAGGAACACAGCAACATGAATGAATCTCAAGGGCACTACGAAAAGTGAAAGAAGCCCTGTCTAACAGGGCTGGTTACTGCATGACTCCAATTATATGACATTTTGGGAAAGGAAAAACTGTGAGGTCAGAATACAGACCAGGATACAAAGAATATTCTTGAAATAGTACAACAAAATCATTTACTAGTGTTAGAGAATTTCCCTAGAGATGCATAGAGTCACTATTTACAATCCCACTGCTCTGGTATTCATACCTGTCTGTGTAGCCTGTGGTTTTCAGAATGATGTCAGTGTCTTTGACGGTCTCTTTTTTCCAATAGGAATCCGAACTGTCATCCCAGCTAGAAAAAGAACTGCTCCTTAACTCCACTGGCTCGTCAAAGTACCTGTATGAGACAGAGCAGAACAGTGACTTTGGAGGACCTGACCGATGTCCGCTCACATCCGGTGCATGGGGACTGCCCTTCCCGGCCTCTTCGAAGTTGGGGGCAGCCATGTGATCTGGCCAGTGCAACGGGAGCAGACATAAGGCAAGTCATTTCCAAGGCCTTTCAGGTGCCCAGTCTTCTCTTCCCTCGCCGCATGGAAGAGGTCGGGTTTTCCAGCTGCTTCAGCCTCGGGCAGGTGAAACCACCATCCACCTGGACAATCAAGATTCCACCAGAAGGACAGGTAAGCTGGACAATCACCTGTACCCTCAGCTGACTTTAGTGAATGAGACAAACCATCATTGTGTTAAGCCCTAAAGATTGGGGCGGGGGAGGTGGGGGGGAGTATTTCTCACTGCAGCGTAACCTAGCTTATCCCAACGGCGCATGACGCCTTTGAGTGCTACCCCACTATAGGTTAGTCACAAATAATGCTTCGAGCCCATCCGAGGAGCTCTTTGTTGGCAATCCTGCCATGTCAGCCACGGTATAAGGCATCATCCCTAACAGCAACCAGCCCTTAGTGTAAGTGATGCTGACAAGCCTCCTGCTGGAATCAGTCACAGAGCTGCGATCGGTGATCACAGGACCACCGCCCCGAGATGCTCTTTCAGTCTGGAGCTTGATGTGAGCTTTGTCTGTAAGCATCTCAGGGGAGCTGCTGGCCTTCTGGGTGGGTTTATACTTTCATTAGCTGAGCGTCAACGAGCAGGGCACCACTAAGAGAGCAAGGCTCAGGGACAGCTTTTGGTCCTGAGTGGTGGGAGAAAAACCTTTGACCAAGAGCAGCAGGGTTTGCCTGGAACAGGACAGAGATTGATAGGTGAGGCGGATGTGCCAGAGCTGCAATGGAAAGTGACCGTGCCATCTCAGAATTCAGGACCGCTTAGGGTGGCAAACAACCAGGCCAGGCATGCACTCCTTATAAAGGTGGTTCCCGAAGTTCAGAAGAGAGACGCAGATCCCAATGCTTGGGCCTGAGGAAAGGAAGGATGATGGAAGAGGACACAGAGGCTTCAAAAATGTCACCAAGGTTTCTGCAGAGAGTAAGAACGGAAGCACACAGGAAACAAGGTAAGGGCCAATCCCCGAGGGCATAAGGAGTTCACAAGCTAAGATGGGGGGTGGGGGAAAAGACTCAATATACTCTTTTATTCTCGCAGAAAAAAAAAAACAGAAAAAGGAGGGGGGATAAACCTGCCGTTTGAGGCAGATGGTATGACTTCATATGAATAATAGAAAAAAGGCAGAATTTCCAAATGTGGTTTCTGCACTCTCTGGCAAGGAGGTCATTAAGAACAAAGCTTGTTACACTAGCCTTCTCTCCCCAGGAAGGAAAACATGCAGTGTTCAAAGTGTATCTGGATTTCAGCTAGAAACTGACCAGGCTCTCCCTGCGGCTGATCAGCGGATGAGCCCTGAGCCACTGGGCTCTGCTCAGAGGAACAGAGACAACCAATCCCTGTTCAGAGAAGAGACCAGAACAACGAAGAGGCTCTTAGTCACGTCTGAGAAAGAAGGTTTGAAAGATGTGATCCACGTGTTGGCCTGGAAAGTTACCTTCAAATATTTGAGGGACATATTTCTAAGGGACCAAGTGAAAGAATTAGGACCGATTCAATAAGGAATTTTAAAACTACTTAATAAGCACCTATGAGGGGCCAGGCACTTGCTGGGTGAGGATACTGGGCAAGGAGACATACTCAGACCCTGCCCTTATGAGGTTGACTGATCTGAGCTCAGAAACTCAGGGAGATATGTAAGCATAGGGCAGTGTTTCTCATGGAGCTGCTGTTGGACTGAAAGGCTGCCTGGAGGAGGAGGAGGGGGAGGAG